CGTGAAGGACCAACACAAGCCAGTCCTTTGCAGCTTTCTTTCATGCCACGACACCATGTCATGCACTGACCACCTCTCCGCTTCTTCCAACCAGTCCCAGAGTCGGCAAATAATGCACGCAGTTACCAGAATTTCTACATTTACATGCTCAAGGGTCTCAATAATCCGATGATGAATATCATCAGGTCTACTGAACATATCTTGTCTGAGATAATAAGGTATCCTTAGGAAGACCATGTGGTTAAGATTCATATGGCCACTGTTTCAGTTGTTGTTAAGTCATTCAATACTATTCTTGAAACATTTTAGTAAAAATGTAGGTTTGTCAATAATACCACTTTTCATAGGATTATACTGTGACTCAAGTGGGGAAAACCTGACACCTTTCCGAGTTCATATTATCATGTATGGAAATGACCTTTTTGAAATACTTTTAAAGTCCATAACACATCGTTTTCCTGCAAGAATCTAGCCTTATTTTTCAACTCTTTCCATGCAGTCCTGGCCTGAACATAAGCGAATCAGAACTGTACAGCATCTGTAGAAATAAATGCCATTGCTTTTCCCTGCCTAAAAGACGTGTAGTGACTCACATTCATCACGAGAACACGACTGGTTTAATAAAAACAATTATTATTATAACCAACTGTACCAGTGTTTGTTTTAATGTGCTTTTGTTTGACTGTGCTAATGACAGCTATTTTGTGCTTCCATTCTTTTACTTACACTTTTGATTGTGACTTCGCGCGAATTCGGTTACGTTCTGTAACCAAGCTTGTATCCTGGCACGATCTCGGTATCCTTTCGATGCCACGAGATCGCCAGCGAATATATCTCGATTTGGTCCATTAACTGTCTTCTGATATTTGGCTTCTCGGGGATTTTATGGATTTATTTGGTTAAGTTCTAACCTCGCCTTCTGATTTATTTGGCACGTGTTTCTTGGTAGCGGTGTTCATAGTTAATCTCAACTCGACACCACGCTACAGACGTATCTTGATCCCTCTGGTTATTCTTGGAGAACAGTTATTAGGACTATAAGGTGATAAGCAGGGTAACTAAGTTAATTATGCCTTTAAACATAGACCAAGCCTCTTCAATTAATGGGCTAGCATCTACTATTCGGTCCACTGCTTCACCACACCACTGGATAGCCGATAATTTTGCTTTGCAAGTGTTTGAGCGAGGTCACAGTTGATCATAGACTATATATCAAGCAGTAAACTTAAGTGGTAAAACGGTATGATCGCTATTAAGTAAGTGAAATAATACAAAAACAGGAAATGTTATCGGTCATGTAAAGGCTTACTAAATTTTACAATTAAAACTTTTGGCTTGAACTGAAACGAAGCAACACATGCTCAATTAGTCATTAGGGTCCTACTATTAGATGCATTTTTGGGAAATAGCTGGGCAAATTATCAGACACTTGTCATATCCACCTATCTACTTTTATTTTATAAGCGCCGTCTTCAGGAAGGCAAGTACGGAGTTCAGACATACTTTTTAACTCTCATACGTCAAATCAAAGAATCAGACCTTGAAAATTTGATTAAAAAGTTGACATCGCTACAATAACTTGGAAATCCCGTTTTTTAAAGGTTAAGGCCTGGAGGATCACTAAGACACCCCCCAATAGTGGTTTTTATTGCTCTACTTAACACCCAATATCTTAATCACAAGCTACTATTAACCTTCCAACTTTGGTGATAGTCTCGTGAGATCTACTTTAACTAAGCGTTTTTAGTCACTAAAATACATTAACGTTGCTTTGGTACTTTAAGATTGTGAAAGGAAAAATTACGAGTTGGAATATTATATGGATTTAACGAAGAGAACAGTCAAGTGTAGTCTTCTGTATCGTTGGATTTAAAGAGAACAGGAAACATAAATTCTGAGCCACGATTTGTGATCGCACGCTTTTTATCAGTAAATTTTGCGGCCTACAACCTGAAACCAATATGTTTTCATGTATTTTTCAAGAATATCGTATGTTTTCTATTTCAAAGTAATGTCCTTTCGAGTATTGTTTGTTACAGAAACGTGATAATGAACGTTTCAAATGTACAAGATTGCAACATGACCATATAACAGACTAAATGTCTCAATACGATTAGTATCAAAAATGGAATCAATCTTAGCTGGATATATATCGGGCTATTTATGATCTGTTTTGACTAGGTAAATGGCGTAATATGACGACAAGGTCAGTGCTTGGTGTGTCGTGTTTGAAAATGTCAGCAGATGGTGCTCTTCATGAATTCCTAGCAAGAGAAAAGGAAGAATTGCGTGGGCTAGAAGATGATTTAGATTTTACACCAAATGGTTTGTACTACACTCAAAAACACCATATTATTTAGGTGAGAATAATGCTGCTGAACACCTTCAAGTAAACGAGGAACCGGAGTGTGTAAAACTTTGGGCCATAAGTTTTAAGAAGCGGATAGAGGTCAAAGACGATGCTGAACGTAAAAGCATGTTCATGCTAGAAGAACAAGGACTCAAAGTGATTTTCAATGTGTAGTTTGACCGTACTCCTTTTTATATACATAGTCGCTCATAACTATAAATCCTTCCTTCATTTTGGACAATTGTTTAATATGCAACCAGTACTAACTTCTTAAAGGAAACGGATGAGTCAGGGTTACGCCCCCAAATTAGTTTGCTTGGTTTCCGGCAAGTACTACCATTGCTTCTCCCAACTCTACACGAAAGTTTTGTGTGATGAAATATGATGCTGCACGTCGATCTTAACAGATTTCTCCTCTGAAAAAATCTAACTTGATTGGAGATGTAATTAGGTCTCTCAATGTTTTTTAGTTATTTGTCCCACGTTCTTATAGGACTTTCACCATTTTATCCTGAGTGGCTTTCTGACTCACGTATCTATATCCATGTTTCGATACTTTCAGTGCATACAGAGCCAATACACTTTGCTCCCAAGTTCATGTCAGTTAGAAACTAAAATAGTTATACCGTAAAGGTATTATACACTGAAATTTCAAACTATATTATTCAAAAGTAAAACCTGTTTATATTTTAATAACGTGAAAAATTCTCCAGTTGTTTGATGCGACATTCAGAATACCAAAAGACATGTACGATAAGTAAACCCTTGAGCCACTTTACTGGGGAATATTCCTCACATGGCTTCAAGGTTTTCGACACAACCAGTCATTCCGAGCTTAAAATCATAGCAAGGAAACGGATAATCAATATAAACTTATACTTCTAGACTTATTCGATATCCCCAGTTGATTTCTTGATGTTAGAGACTATATTAGTTGTATACAATAGTAGTTTTAGACATATCGTTATTACTTAGTTTCAATAGTGCTGAAAACAAATTCCGTTTAATTAACAATCATATATTACGCACAAGTAATCTCAAGTGCTGATTTGTGTGACTTGATACTGTATCCTTCGACTTTACTCACATAAAAAGTTTAGGAATTACCCAAAAGGATGCTACAACCCAAGACTAGATATAAGAATACTTCACTTCAAGTCCTCGTTATTCACGACACCGTAGCTGAATCTCAGCAAGACCAGGCATGTATAAAAAGTGAAAATAACAATGCTTGTAGACAAAGGAGAAAGGACAAACATGCTAATATACGATGTAGAAGGTGTCTATCATGAAATTGATCGGGGGAAGCAAAGTTCCCTTCGATTTACTAATCTAAACACCACAAACGTCTACCCATCGAATTACTGCGAGTTTATAATGTATAGGCGACCTCGAGAATGGCCGTCTACTTACTGCATTTAAGTGTGGAATCAGGATTTACAGTTGGGCGTTAGGGTCTTCATCGTCAGCTATGAAGCCAACATGCTATTTGGCCTTTTGTTGAGTAAATTTCGCATTATAATCCAAGACCTGTCATCTTAAATCTGGTTAGTTCGTCCAAAAATTATAATTCCCCAACTAACATTAGACCCATATTTTTGATGCTTAGTATATTTTGCACCTATAGGGTTAAATATATGTGTATTTGTCTCTATGGTACACTGCTATCTTTGTTTCTTTAAAAAGGATTTGCATGAGTGGGCACTTCAGTACCGCGATTCTCTTGCGCGAGGACAAAAACTCAGCCGCGCTCATGACAAAGAACTTCAAAGTGCTCGACAAAAAGCTGCAGAAGCATCAGCCAGAATGTCACAGGTGGACGCTGGCCAAGCTGTTTTATGGGAAAAAGTTTGCCAGTTGTGTAATTTCGTCACTTCTGGTAACGAAGAAACAACAAACGTTCACACCGTCCCGATAAATACGAAGGATAATCAGCGAGACTTGAACAGGATGCGTGTGCTCCTTCTGCAGTTGAAGAAGAGTCCCCCCGCAATACAACCTAGAATTCGATCCCATTAATCTACAAGCTTACTTTTATTGAAGTGCAATATTATATTTAGAAACTAATCTCAAATATTTAGCTTCATGTGACTACCAAGTATACATTCCAATTGTTATATGACCATCTTTATCTGTGTTTACAAGTATATTCTTAATAAAACTGACTTCCGAATTTCAATCTTTACAACTTCACCGTCTCAACTTCTGATGGCAGCGTGGAAATTCTAATAAAAAGCGGTGTTATATGAAAGAGCTCTGTACTCCCATTTTTAGGTTCGATTTGCTTAGTGCATTAGTATTTCGAAACGAACTAGTTACCTATTGATTCCAAGAATAACGTTTACGAAGTTTGTTTGAATACTTGAACCATGGATTAAGTTACCACACCGCCAACGATACTTCTGTTATAACAAATAGTACTATTCAGCCTGTAGTAAGCAAAGTAGTTTCTAAATAGTACTTAGTACTATGTAATGCCGACTCACAGTTTGATTTAATGCGTGCTGCAGTAACAGTATGAACTTTTTGAAGGTGCTACTGTGTCAAACGTCATCTCAAAGGTGCAACAGTGATCGTATGGCAAGACAAGAAACTCCATCCTCCGAAAAAATTCACTCGAGTCATGTGATGAAAATCAGTTAGTCTTCGCGCGTAATCGGGTGATACTCTTCTGATTCCGTTCACAAACACATAAGTCTTAATATTTATCAGTAATTTATATTATTGGTAAAGTCGATAAAAAGTGACAGGAATCAGTTTTGTGGTTTATTATTGTCCGTATCCATAGTCTCTTCCTTCTTAATTTCTTCACACTCCTCGTTTTCATCAGTTTTAACCTCTGGCTTAGTTTCTTCACCAATCTCATCTATTACTTTTACAGGCTCTACAAAGCTTGGATTAGGTATAGACTTATTCACAGCCCAAACCTAGTTAAAAGTAAAAAAAATATGATTGAAGTTTTAGTAAAGGATTCTTACATAGATTATAAATCCTTTATTGAGAACATTTCCGTTTTTAAAAAATATGAAATGAATATTACTTACCTGAATAAGAGTTTCACTAAGCGGTATCATCTGTGGCAAGACTTCGCTAACATGCAAGTCTTGTAGCTCGAACCATTTTCCAGTACCACGATGTACTAAGTGGATACGATGCGTACCGGAGCCAGGAGTTGGGGGACCATCATGCACAATATTGGCTATCAAGTCGTAAGTAGTATGCCTATTCGAGGTTCAGAGAAAGACAATCAATGCTAAGAACCTAGATTTTTTATATTGGGCTTGAAAAACAAAATTATTACGTTCATACGAATAGATTTCCTAAACGAAGTTTAAATGGAGGTAAATATGGTTTATGCTACAAGTAGACAGTGATAAATTTATCGAATAATAAAGATCGAAAACGGAAGATGAGTGTCAGGAGTTTGTTGTTTTGATATGCATCCAAGATTGTTTTATCCTGAGACAAAATGTATCAAGACAATAGTGCTTATAAAGAAACCAATCTTAATGATATTTATATGACTAAGGCTCAAAAACCAAACGGTTGTTGCTTTTCCTTACGTCACTATTCTAAAAACATGACAGGAACTATTACAACAAACTAAAGTTCCACGAACTCCGCCTGTAGCTCTTCTAGAGTTACTGCCGGTCCCAAGCCCGGGTAAAGGAGGAGGGTTGGGCATGGGGTTAGCGTCCCCATCCCGTAAAGAACTAACTCGCTAAAGAAACGCTTACCAGAAAAAATAATTCAAACCATTTTAACTCTGCCCTGAGAGTTAGAAGAATTATGACGCTTCATGGTGAAAGCCGAGTTCCTTCGGAAGCCACGAGGCCGATGCCCCTTCTAACAACCAGAGCAAAAATTTTTATAGGTACATGGAACGTTCGAACAATGTGGGAAACCGGGAAGACCAGCCAAATAGCAACGGAAATGAAGAGATACAACTTGGCAGTACTGGGAATCAGCGAAACCCACTGGACCCAAGCTGGACAGAAAAGGCTAGCTACGGGAGAGATGCTGCTATACTCCGGTCACGAAGAGGAAAATGCTCCACACACTCAGGGAGTTGCTCTAATGCTGTCCAAAGTAGCACGAAATGCACTTGTAGGATGGGAATCCCACGGATCCAGAATCATCAAAGCATCATTCAAAACAAAGAAGGAGGGGATCTTAATGAATATTATCCAATGTTATGCACCCACCAATGATAGCAACGACGACATTAAAGATCAATTCTACGAGCGGCTGCAGCCAATCATAGAGAAATGTTCAAGAAAGGACCTCACCATTCTGATGGGAGATCTAAATGCCAAGGTCGGAATAGAAAACACTGGATATGAAGATATTATGGGACGACATGGACTGGGAGAGAGGAACGAAAATGGAGAAAGATTTGCAAATTTGTGTGCATTCAACAAATTAGTCATAGGAGGCACAATATTTCCACACAAACGTATACACAAGGCTACATGGATCTCATCGGACCACACTACAGAGAACCAGATAGACCATATTTGCATCAACAAAAAATTCCGAAGGACGATGGAAGATGTGAGAACCAGGAGAGGAGCTGACGTAGCTTCAGATCACCACCTAGTTGTAGCCAATTTAAAACTGAAGCTAAAAATGAACTGGACAAGTGGACAAACAGCATTACAAAGGTTCAATATAGCCTTCCTTCGAGATACTGACAAACTCAATGAATTCAAGATAGCTCTCAACAACAGGTTCCAAGCCTTTCAAGATCTACTGAAGGAAGAAGAAACTACCATGGAGGACAACTGGAAAGGCATCAAAGAAACATTGACTTCAACGTGTCAAGAGGTTCTGGGCCTAAAGAAACACCATCATAAGGAATGGATCTCTATAGAAACACTGGACAAGATCAAAGAAAGGAAGAACAAGAAGACAGCAATTAACAACAGCCGAACACGAGCAGAGAAAGTCCAAGCACAAGCTGAATACATAGAAGCAAACAAGCAAGTGAAGAGGAGCATTAGAGCCGACAGGAAGAAATACGTGGAAGAATTAGCAACGACGGCAGAAAAAGCTGCTAGAGAAGGAAATATGAAACAGCTCTACGATACAACGAAGAAACTATCAGGGAAATACAGTAAACCAGAGAGGCCGGTCAAAGACAAAGAAGGCAAGCCAATCACTGAAATTCAACAACAGCGAAACAGATGGGTAGAATACTTCGAGGAACTCTTGAATAGGCCGGCTCCAATGAATCCACCGAACATCGAAGCAGCACACACAGGTCTTCCTATAGATGTCAGCCCACCAACTACGGAAGAAATTAGAATGGCCGTCAGACAAATCAAGAACGGCAAAGCAGCAGGACCCGACAACATACCACCTGAAGCACTGGAGTCAGACATCGAAGTAACTACAAACATGCTTTACCTTCTATTTAAAAAGATTCGGGAGGAGGAACAAGTGCCGATGGACTGGAAAGAAGGGCACCTCGTCAAGATTCCAAAGAAAGATCTGAGCAAATGTGAGAACTACAGAGGCATTACACTCATGTCAGTACCAGGGAAGGTCTTTAACAGAGTGTTGCTGAACCGGATGAAAGATGCAGTAGACGCCCAACGTCGAGATCAACAAGCTGGATTCCGTAGGAATCGGTCGTGCACAGACCAAATTGCGACACTACGGATCATCGTCGAACAATCAGTTGAGTGGAACTCGTCACTATACATCAACTTCATTGATTATGAAAAGGCATTCGACAGTGTAGATTGGAGGACATTATGGAAACTTCTTCGACACTACGGAGTTCCTGAGAAGATTGTCAATATTATCCGGAACTCATACGACGGACTACAGTGCAAAGTAGTGCATGGAGGACAGCTGACGGATGCATTCCAAGTAAGGACCGGAGTCAGACAAGGCTGTTTACTCTCTCCCCTCCTCTTTCTTCTGGTGGTCGACTGGATTATGAAGACCTCGACATCTGAAGGAAAACACGGAATACAATGGACAGCTCAGAACCAATTAGACGATCTGGACTTCGCAGATGACCTAGCCCTCCTATCACGTACACACGAACAGATGCAGATGAAAACAGCCAGTGTAGCAGCAGTCTCTGCATCAGTAGGCCTCAGTATACACAAAGGAAAAACCAAGGTCCTCAAATTCAAAGCGGAGAACAGCAATCCAATCACCCTTGATGGCGAAACTCTGGAAGATGTAGAATCCTTCACATATCTGGGAAGCATCGTCGATAGACAAGGAGGTTCAGATGCAGACGTAAAGGCGAGGATTGGCAAAGCAAGGGCCGCATTCCTACAATTGAAGAACATATGGAACTCAAAACAACTATCAACCAATATCAAAGTGAGAATCTTCAATACGAACGTCAAGGCAATTCTACTGTATGGAGCTGAAACTTGGAGAACTACAACAACCACAATCAAGAAAGTACAAGTATTTATAAATAGCTGTCTACGCAAGATACTCAACATCCACTGGCCGGATACCATCAGCAATAGCCTTCTGTGGGAGAGAACAAACCAACTTCCAGCTGAAGAGGAAATTATGAAAAAACGATGGAAATGGATAGGACATACATTACGCAAATCGTCAAACTGCATCACGAGGCGAGCTCTAACTTAGAATCCTGAAGGGAAGCGGAAAAGAGGAAGGCCAAAGAACACATTACGTCGGATAATAGAAGCAGATATGAAAAGAATGAATTACAACTGGAAGGAGCTGGAAAGGATTGCCCAGGACAGGGTTGGATGGAGAATGCTGGTGAGCGACCTATGCTTCTTCACGAGGAGTAACAGGTGTAAGTAAGTAAGTAAGTAAGTAAGTAAAGTTCCACGATTTAAATTGTAAAATGCCACTGGATTATACGTATATCATGTGCACAGATACCAACCATAAAGTTAAAGTGCTCCAAGTCTAGAAAATCAGTATAACTTTTAGTTTACTATCTCAATCCATATAGTCTTGTTAACAGCTTTGCTCATTGAATTAATTGCAAACAGAGACTAGTTTTCAAGATCCTTTGACTTTGTACGAACAGTTTTTCTAACGAACCTGAAGTCAAAAGTCTCATTGTGACGATAGATACATGATAATCTGTTTAGCTTGATTTAAAGTACAACAACAAACATATGAGGTAAAAATCGACGCAATCTTTGAATTAAGCGTTGGCGATGATTGTCGAAGATGCGATAAGTAGTAGCAGTATAAACATACTTAAATTTAATGGAGAGTAATAAAAATCATTTTGTCTGGAATAGCTATCATTGAGAGTGGCGAGTTAATTGTAAACTTAAGGATGTTTGAAATAGCCCTTACAACATTGAGTAAAATCAGTACATAGTTTTCTGAAGACGTTATACGCTTAAGTCATATTTGCTCAAATTTTGGCCAACATTCATATCGTCTTCTGAAAAGATACAATCTACAGGTAATTAAAACAACAGAAATTTCATCACCACAGCAGTAAATATCCCCGTTTTAAATCCTATGTTTACATATGAAGTTCGAACTCTTGTTGATAATTGACCTACTACAGTTGACTGGTTTGTGACCCGACCGTTGTTGCTACCTTGACGTGGTGGTCGGGCTTGCCTATCGTGATGAAGCAACCGAGCTATACTGGCTGGAACAACCGTTCCTCAAGGTCCTACCATGTCAGACAGGTCGGTTGAAGAGCGGTAAGACTAAAAGCAACAAACCCAAGGTCCGAAGGCGAAGTCGTACTGCTGACTGTACAGAGGTGTGACAGCAGTAAGGTGTTTCCTTCAGACAACCAGCATGACAGCGATGCTGCCTTCCCACAAGGAGGGGTGGGGTTAGAAAAGGTCGACCCTAAAAATGCACACCTCGCCTTATCCCACGGATATCCGTCTCCGGCGGTAAGGTCTCAATAAGTACGGAGCTAACACAAAAATTACCCATAACAAGGTCGTGTGTGACCGACCTCAAGCAGTTGTCCCTTGGGCACTGCGGTCACGCTCTCAGGTCACTAAGACCACCTTTAATCCAAATTCCTTTTCAGGTACCCCCAGAACAACCCTTCCACGGTGTGGGCAACCGGGAAGTGAAAACCGCCCTCATACCTCTAACAGCACTCAAGACCACTGTATTCATAATCAACCTTCCTCTTCAATTCCTATTATTCCTCCTACATCGACTTTCACCTTTAAATTTCCTCTCTCGGCTTCCACCTCAAGTGTCACCATAGCCAACGATTCTAGTGCGCAAAATACTGTCCCAGGTCTACTGAAACCTCGCTCCAAACTACACATTGGAGCCTTCAACGTACGAACCCTATGTCAAATCGGTCAGCAGGCTTCCTTGGCTAAAACCCTAGAGTCTCTTACCATTGACGTGTGCTGTGTCTCCGAAACACGCATACAGGATTCCAGTGTGGTCATTCACTTGACCTCACCTCGGCAAAACGGAGAGCCAACGAGGTACACCCTTCGTGTATCTGGTGACCCGATGGCAAGTTCTCGTGGACTGGCAGGTGTAGGCATAGCACTAAGCATGAGGGCCGAACAAGCACTGCTAGAGTGGATCCCCGTCAACAGTCGTCTATGTGCTGTTCGGCTGAACGGCTACGTAAGAACTCGGAAGGATAGGAACACACGTCGTTGCCTTTTTGTCGTTTCTGCCTACGCTCCCACTGACTGCAGCTCAGATGATGTGAAAGATGAATTTTACAGAAAACTGTCCGAACTTCTTCAGAAAGCTAAACGCTCAGACATAGTACTCGTAGCAGGTGATTTTAATGCTCAGATAGGCAGTTTAAACCAAACAGAAAGGCATTTAGGTGGATATTTTAGTATTCCGACACAGCGAACAGATAATGGTGATCGTCTGCTGCAGCTATGCTCAGACAATCGTTTATTTTTAGCAAACACAAATTTTAAGCATAAGGAGAGACATCGTCTAACATGGCGACCCCCTACACCAAACCAACGATGGACTCAAATAGACCATATTGCCATCAGTCATCGTTGGAGAGGGTCGGTAGAAGATTGTCGCTCATTCTGGAGTACCTGCTTGGACTCCGACCATGCCCTAATACGGGCACGCATCTGCTTGCGCCTCACTGGACGCAAAAAAGCCACATTGAAAAGACCCGTTAGAACTGAGTTAAGTAACGAGAAAACCAGAAGTAGGTTACAGGAACAACTGAGGTCACACTTAGGTAGTTGTGAAGACGAGGCTGACCCAGATGTTGCTTGGAAGGGCATACAATCAGCTGTGGAAACAGCAGTGACATCTATTAGTGACTTAAACCACAGAGTTGTAAGGAACCAGTGGATTTCTTCAAGGTCTGTCACACTGATGGATTCTCGCAAACTCGTCCCATCAGGTTCTGAACATGATGAAGAGCGAAAACAAATCAGATTTAGGTTAAGAAAAAGTCTAAGAAACGACCGTGAGCAGTGGTGGGCATCGAAAGCAAAAGAGATGGAAAAGGCGGCGACTATAGGAACACAAGACAGCTTTACAGACTAATAAAAGAAACTGGAATTAATAAGTCAAGTGTAAGTGAGATTATATCGGAAAAAGACGATACACTCATCTGCTCCAAGTCCAGGCGTTTAGAACGATGGGCGGAACACTTTAGGGAACAGTTCAGCTGGCCTTCAGCTACTCTACAACTACCCTCCATTCCCAGACAGTGTGAATGGAACATTGAAGTAGGTCCCCCGACTCTTGCTGAAGTTCAAAAGACTATAGTTAATCTGAAACGAGGAAGGGCAGCTGGTCCCGATGGATTGGCTCCAGAGGTCTTTAAGGATGGTGGTCCAATTTTAGCGATTAAGTTGACTAATATTTTAGCTAAGATCTGGGAATTAGACTTTATCCCATCTGACTGGTCGCAATCACTTATCGTCCCAATATATAAGAAAGGGTCAAAATCATCCTGTGACAACCACAGAGGGATTAGTTTAACAAACATAGTATCTAAAATACTGGCCTCGATAATTATCAAACGCCTAACTAAGACTCGTGAACTACAAACTCGAGAGAACCAAGCTGGCTTTAGACCTGGTCGTGGCTGCATCGACCACATATTCACCATTCGTCAGGTTCTAGAACACAGGCATACCTATCGGCGTCCGACGATGGTGGTATTTCTCGACTTAAAAGCAGCATTTGACTCGGTAGACCGCGAGACTCTGTGGCAGTGTCTGTCATTGAAAGGCGTACCTCAGAAGTACATAAACCTTGTGAAGGCTCTTTACTCGAACACTACTAGTCGAGTCAGGGCTTATGGCGAACTGTCATCTGTTTTTGCATCCTCAAGTGATGTTCGTCAATGCTGTCTACATCCTCCATTTTTGTTTAACTTCATCATAGACCTACTGATGGAAATAACATTCTCGTCGACTGAATTCTTGGGTATTGATCTCCTTCCATGAGGTCCACTTATCGACTTAGAATACGCAGATGACATAGTCCTGTTTGGTGAAGACGCTGATAGAATGCAGTCTTCTGGTAGCACTAAGCAACAATGCCAGAATGTTTGAAATGCGCTTCTCTCCCTCTAAATGCAGGTTGTTGCTTCAGGACTGGTCTGCGTCAACACCTGAACTAAGGATAGAGAGTGAAGTAGTTGAACGCGTTGACAACTTCACTTATCTTGGAAGTCTGATTAGCCCTAATGGGTTGGTGTCTGACGAAATCTCAGCACGGATTCGAAAAGCTCGTTTGGCTTTTGCCAACTTACGTCATCTTTGGCGAAGGCGAGATATCCGTCTATCAATAAAAGGGCGAGTATACTGCGCGGCAGTTCGTTCTGTTTTACTTTACGGCAGCGAAACATGGCCCCTAAGAGTAGAAGACACCCGTAAGTTACTAGTACTTGACCACAGATGCCTTAGAAATATTGCTGGCATCTGCTGGGATCACCGGGTAAGTAATAGTGAGGTTAGACGCAGGGTATTAGGGAATGATGGTAAATCAGTTGATAAGGTTGTGAATCTTCATCGACTGAGATGGTTGGGCCACGTATTACGTATGCCTGAACACCGATTACCACGACATGCAATGCTAACCGGGGTAGGGGATGGTTGGAAGAAAGTTAGGGGCGGCCAAACCAAAACGTGGCATCAGTGCCTGAAGTCACTAACTTCTAGTCTGAGCCATGTTGGTAGATGCAGACTACTTGGTTGGGGTCCGCGTGACTTTCGTAACCAATGGTTGGAGACTCTTGGTGACATGGCTCAGAATCGATCACAATGGCGTCGGTGTATACACTCCCTGTCTTCTTTTAAACTAAGAGACTAAAATCACTTCATTCTTTCTGTCTACGAACTAATTCTTTCTTCCTATACTATATCCTTATTGCAACCTTTGACCTAACCACTCCTATGAATCCGCTGTTCATCTTGCTGTGCTAATGAGGTATGGCAACCTGGACCGATGCACATATGTGCCTGGTCCTACGTTGTAGCTGACTGACTGACTGACTGACTGACTGATTGGTTTGTGAAAATACATTATATAGTCAAGTGATTAAAAAGTAACGTTAGGTAAAACAGTTAAGCCTACCGATGTTTAGCTCGAAATTCTGGGGCCAACAATTCACCGAAATCAATACTTCTAATGGGGAAGTTAACTATCGTTGGATTCTTCTCCAATGTAAAGATGTTTTTAACAAACCTCTTCATGTAAAGAATTAAGTAAGGAGGTAGTCGACGAAGCTCAAATCGACGCAACGTAGAATCACGATGAGTCTTGTATTCCTTTTCTGTAACCCCGTTAAATTTCGAAAGTAGTGTAGCTAATGAAACTTGTGGAATGATGTTTTCCTTAAATTCATCTAGATATAGTGGAGGTGGGGGTAAATCACACGTAAGATAGAAGAAATTTATGTCTGATATTGAAGTCTGGAAAAGAAGAAATACTGACAGGATTATCGAGAATTGGATAATACTAAGATATTGTGATGTGAAAAATGGAAATTTCTCATAGTAAGGGGAAACTACCAGTAGCTTACATATAAAAAGATACATGGTACAACCGACTTGTCTCAATTACTACTGGTATCTGGCATTTTATGTAAATTTTGTTGACAGCACATATGTTTGTTAGACAGCACTTTGGTCCCAGTTTTCAGAAAATCGTGGAAAAGTTGGTATGCTAAATATTCAAATGAGGGATCTTTTGTTGTCCGTTATGCACAAGATAGGTCATGGTCACGTTGATCACTAGCTCTTAAAGTGTACCAAGCTGTATTTTTGAAAGGAAGGCTTCTATTTCTGATCGCTAAATATCTGCAACCTTCTAATCGTTAGGAAACTTTTGAACTATTGCAACTCAAGTCTCTGGACAAATACATAACGTTTTTGTTGAAGTTTTGTTTTCTGAGATGAATAATTTGGTCGCGAAGCCTTCGTTGTTCTTCTACACGACATCAACAGCACCAAAGTCAAGTAGGATGAAACTGTTCGAATTTCTCCACATATGACTCACAGCTTGTTCTGTACGCCTCAATGTTGATTGGTTTTTGTTGACCATTAACTTATCATTGTTCACTTCTTTGTTTTGATTGTACCTCTCATTTATTTGATTCTTGGCCCTATATTTGTTCGTAATTTTCCTGATTGGTTGATAAATTGGGTTGATTTCAATGTTTGCTGATTGACCTGAGTGCAAAGCTTCTAAAAGTTCTCTGGTGTTTTCAGAATTCCCTTTATCCAAGATCTCCACATTTTCCCAGTCGAATGTATGTCCACATACATTGATATAAGTGAGGATGTGTCATGGCGTTTGATCGCTAATTGATGTTCGTGCAGGCGAAGATGAAGGGGGGCGCCCACTTTGTCGGCTAGACCTGTTAAATGGCTATGTAACAGTTATGAGTTGGTGAGATACGCTTAGAATACATATGTGTAATTAGATAATCAAGTTCTTAGAAAAAGTTCAGGATACTTTAATACGAGAAAATGATTCAATGTAGATAATTTTCATAATAGATTACTAGGAAAATACTTCAAAGAACAGATTATTCTATTTGCTTTAAAACGTGCAATGGGCGGCCAAAAGATGTAGCACAGATTGAGTCAGCTAACCCTGAAATTAATACAATTCATGAAAACTAATGAACACGTTTTTGGTACCATACCTCAAAGGGATAAGCAACTAGATTTTCCAAAATAGTTAAACCTCTATATCCCACCGCTTATTCTTAGTGTTTAACTTAATTAAACGATATTAGAAAAGAGGTGGTTAGGTAATTATGTTGCATCATAAGATTCGTCGGCTTTTCAGACAAGCATCGATTTTACACACAGGAGCAATACTCTTCAAATATTTTTATTCTAAACACATATTTGTGCAGAGAATTATGACATCATAGCAAGAGTAATTTTCCTTCATAATTTTTCGCAGAGATGTATAGATTTCTTTTTTTTCATAGTAATTTTCCTATTATTAAACAGTGAAAGCCTTTCGTACAAGCAATATGACAAACGATCGTAAACTATTATTTATCTCTTTCGTCACTACTGCTCACAATCATCATGCAGACACTTCATCGATATGATATCTGTGATCGCTAACCACCCTATTGGACGTCAGCCAGAATTAGTAATTATGCCTGAAACCTTTCACACAGATCAGTCATTATGAAAAACAGTTATACCATATTTAAACAAATACAATACCATGTATTCAGGGCTGTCTGCCAGAGAAGCCTTTTCTTCATCCGTCATGTTTACAGGCATGATTTTCCGACTGTACATTCTCATCTTTCCTCGTAAAGTTGATGAAACAATGCTTTTATAGGTTTTATTAACTGCGCCTCTGGGACAGGGAATTTTTTTAATCCTTAAAGCTTTATCTATTGCATTAACCAACCATGAAAGGAATTCAATGGCATCGCCTTGTTCAGTGATTTGGAAACGCTTTTTACTGCACAGCACAACTGCCTGTAGGAGGAATAAAAAACGAGATATGTAATTTTAAACACATCCTAATTAAAACACAGTTGTATGAACTTGGTGTTTTCGTTTCTGTGAACTTTGCGTTATACTTCAGGAACTCATTGAGTGCCTTCAATGCAATGGGTTGATCACAAAACTTTGGTCGCTGAAAAATTCCCATTATATTAAAACATAATTGTATGTATCCTAATTACTGAACAGTTAAGATATTAAACCTGATAGTGATTAGAACGTTATTAATACAAATAGGAAAACTGAGGACTTTATTATCTGGTTAATTGGCAGTACCATTTACGAATTATTAAAATAATAAGACAAAAGACAAGCCAAATGTAAAGTTTAAGTACACACTAAGAGATAAATATTGCGTGAAAAAGTAACCACCCTTTTCAAGATACTCAAACCTGTGTAGGAAGAGGCATCGTTCGACCTATGGTTAACTATTAAATTCAGTAATTAAATTTTGTGCATTTCAAACAACTAATCATAGATGTTCTCAAGATCCTAAGTCAAAATGCATAATTCCGAAAGTCATAACAGGATCAATACTTATTAGGTAATTTCATGATAAAGCTTAAGATTGTTAAAAATCATTAAAAAAGCAGTAGTTACGTTTACTCTGTGTACGGCTAAAAACATGTTAGAATATGGATGACACTGAAGAGTATCATCATTGCTAAGAAAATAAAGAACTATCTAAAAATTAGAAAACTGAAAGAGAAATAAGCTTACCTGTAAGAATTCATGAGGTGAAACGTGGGTTTTGAAGTTTCGAGGATTCCACAATTTTCGAATAAGTTCACTAAATCTTTGGACCAAAAGCATCATTTGATCTCCAGAGACAGAAGGTAGGTTCTCAAAGTTTTTGATATCTAAGAAATAATTTCGCAATGGACTGATATGACTGAGCATTTGTAATATGACGTTGCAATAATCATTAGCCTGAACGGAAAATAGAGGGTTATCAGTACCAGGGATTTGGTTGATTTATTTACTTGATTTATTACTACCATTGACAAATTAACCTACCTTGATATTATTGAGACCCACAACACCAGGATAATATGTAAGACCATTGTATGCTCTGACCATTTTCGAATAACTATCCAAAGCAAGTATTTCGGGAGTACTGAAAGTAGGATTTAGTAGGTAGGTAATGTCTTCCAATGACCCATCTAAAATTTCATAATCATCGGGCAAGCAATAAAACCGTCGAGTTTCCAAATTCAGGAAGACGTGGTGGCTTTCACTAACACTGTGGGTATATGCATGAGTAGAATTTCCACGACCCTAAGATATAAAACATTTATGATAAGTATTTCCATTTATTACTGTGCGTTTTGAATTTAAGAAACGAAATGATTAGGTTAAATTTGATTGATTGCGAATCCCAATGTGTTTAAATGCAATTCATCATGCGGAGCTGTTGGTTCAATTTACTTGAAGTGACGAATAAACTGTCATGCAGCTCCACCATAATAAAACAAAACACCGTAACTTATTAAACACGCAAACGTTCATACACTAGACTTTGAACCACACTTTTGTGTGAGGCTTAGTGATGATCCCGAAATACCCAACGTAAAGCGGGCAGAGAGATTAGAATCGATTGATTGAACGCCAAGTGCCATAACGACTACGCAAGCACCTAATATAACCCACTGACCAAGCACATGTAAATACAGCTGAGTCACAGTGTGAAGGCTAGTGATATCAACAAGGTATTACACGGTCAATATCAACTAACTAGATCGGTATTTCCAACACAACGATGACAAAAAGTGTGAAAACATATTGTTGAAATATAAGTTACATTGGACGGATGAAAATCTTTCTATCTTCAGTCAATACAATCACAGTTAAAGCTTACAGGAATGCTTCACCAAGTCTCTACGAACAACAAATCTGTAGAACACTGACACATTATTAACTCAAATCTCTGTACAATTCAGGAATCGAAAGTAACAAATTCAGTTTATGCAAAATTGAAGTGGTTGAAAACAGTGATACAATAAAGTCAATGGACAATCTTGACATTGCCAGCCTAAACTCGGTAAGGAAAAACGGCATCAGGACAATAAGGAAATTTTTCGGAGTCAAGATTAAGGTTTTCGAAGTTGAACGATATTTAGCAGGGTCAAAAGCTAGTTTATTCATCAAGAGCCAAGACGCCCAAGAGCTACCGAAGTTTTCATTTGCAAAAAAATAGTACACATTTGAGTTGTTGGCAGGAACCATATGCATTACTATTCATTATGAAGAAACTTGGAATAGAATTACCTGAAAGTACTTTCCACAGATTAGACAGGCGTAGACGTTCAGGTGAGATAAAGAAACGGAACACAGCTTCTCAAAGTCAAAATCCAGCATGTTCCTCCTAATAGTATCCAGGTATGGGCATGATCTACTTCTGGTGTCTTCATTCTGATCATTGTAAACGGCTCCATTCCCAGTATACGCTTGCTCTTCATCTGACTTATGAAAAATAAAGAATTAAACACTGATGTACCCCTGCACTACGCTTTATCCTTTTTGAGGATTTTTTATGGGTTTTTTCATGCTTCCTTTTGTGTCCAGAAACTGAAGAAACAGCGTGAGGTACAAACGACAGTGAAGACATCCCAGTAACGCATAGGTTGACGCTCCCACTTCAATGTTCAATTACTTCGTTACGAGCTAATTTCAATTTCAGTTTGGAAAGGGTAGGAGGCTTGGTGGCTTGTGTTAGTCCTGGCAATGACGGTCTCTCGATTGATCCAACTTTCCACTGAAACAGTTGACGGAAGGAGACTCTACCACGTGCTGGGACAATGAATTCCACTCGTTGATGATTCGATGGGAAAGTCGATAGTCAGCTGACAAGTAATTTGTTCTGGGCTTGTGAACTTTTCTAGAGTATCCTCTTAAATTTTCTGTTTTGGAAGACAAGAAAAATGAGGGCATATCTGGTGCAAATTTACCACTAATTAATTTGAAAACTGTAATCAAGTCACCTCTAGGTTAAAGCATATACTTGAAGTTAGCCAATTCCCTTAGTAACCTAGGATGCAGTTCATCGGGCCCCGTGGATTTGCCTATGTCAAGCTTATTTAGCAGACCAAAGACATTGAGTTCTTTAATGGCCACGCTGTCCAGTGTGTGGGGGATGTATATAGACTGACGGGCAGATTTAGCTTAGATTATCTAAGATTACTTTAGAAATAAGCTGCATACCTCTGGTTCATAAGTTCCCGTATTTGAAATGAAAGGACTAGTCTTTGATTGCATAAATTTGCAACTTCTGACTTTTCAAGACTTTGAGGGCTTTGTTAATAATTACAGAAGGGATTGAAGAATAAAACTTTATGTACTATTCTTCCCTAAATTAAGAATAATAGAATTTTTCAGTCTCTTTTAAATAAGCTAGCGAATTTTCCTCCGTCGCTCTTAATGTGAATTTAAATTTATCTAATAAATCTGAAGGGTTCGTGAAGACGATTTAGTTTATTACGGGCCAGTATATGTGAAATTTTGGATCATTTACAAAAAGCTTTATGTGAGATTTAAGGGGAAAAAGTCCACTTCAAGGTTTCCGTCACACTGATATTGTTGACAAGTTCCGAAAATCTACGGAACTCAATTCAAGCGATATTGTAGCAGTTTATTAGGACACTGGTGAGACGGATTTGCAATTTCTTTTGTTCCTGGACTACACTTCTGCTCTGCTAAATATGGACATAACTCAAATTAGACCCTCGCGATTTCTTATGACATCAACTGACTTTCTATTTTGGACTAATAACAGTACGAATATCGAAACCAATTTACAATACACTATAATATTTGAATTATTTGAATTGTAGTATGAACTAGGAATCCCAGAAGTAAGACACAAGCATGAACGAATGTATTGTATTTAGAATTCGAAATCGAGCATTCAACTAGTACCAAGGTATTGTAGGGTCAGTGAAATGTCACTGAGCCCTAGCCAAATCATACGGCAGTTGGATCACTGAATGTCGAACAGATCATCGCTCCCTGCCAAGGTCATGTAGAAGCAACGCGCATTAGTTAATCATACGCCATGGACTGCCCCATGCGGCAGTGGTCTTACTTTCGCCTGTATCTACCTTAACTAATATATTTCTGTAATAACGTCCTTTGTGTTGTACAGTCTTCAAAGCATCTATAGTACCTTGTTACGCCAATGGGGGTAGTCCACGTAAGGTGCTGACCACAAGGTGTGACTTCGACGTTAGTTGGTTCGTCACACTATTCACGTCTAACTCGAGTCGGCCTCCAATCATTTCGACATAGATCATCTACGTTGGTGATCTACACTGGTGAGCAAGACTTCGAATAACGCAACCTATCTTTATAATGTTTATTATTGTATTATATACTTATTCTTTTTCATTTTTATCATCGCCTATGTTAATCTGTTACTGTGAACTTTCGTTGCTTCATGTCAATATTGATTAGCATTTAAACCTAGATAATTCGTTCAATCGACAGAACTAACCAATCAACTACGATTATAATCGGCTATCGTGGTTCTTTAACAAGCATTAGCAGCATGTAAATGCTCCTGTGTAATATGTCTGTTAAAATATCAACCACTCGTGAGTATAGCCACAAGGCAACACGAACGCATATCTCTTTTTACCTTATCCACTGGTATAAATAAGACAAGATTAACTATCGACTATAAATTCATCTTTCTGCTTAACCACTATCCACTAGAATGTTCTGCTTTTTTTACCACTGCCTGCCTAATTTCCAATTGCTGAGTTCCATGGCCAAACAGAGGATACGAATGCTAGAAATTCACGGTGACTTTGAACTATAAATTTCCTGCGATCTTAGATCTCGTTTAGACTGTTCGTCAGTCTACAACGCTGTGTTAATCGAAAAATCTAATCAACAGTACCTCGTACATAATCCAGATTCAAACTACTGCCTACTTCATTACTTAAAGGCAAGAGTAACCCAGGCGAGTTTCATAATTTCATTAGATTATTTCTTACTATATTTATGATGCGTGATAACATTTCGTAGTTGCTTTCACGTAAACTAGTCATATATTCTGTCACTGCCGTCAAGTTTTAGTCGAAATCATGTATATTTATGACTCGTTAGTCGACATACTGTGGTAAAACATATTGCATGTACACGAGCACGCTTAGTCCATGTCCCAAGTACACATGTTGTCGTACTTAATATGTCACTTAATGCTAGGTAATAAGCTCTTTGTATCATCCTTTTACGAAATGGCCACGTTACCTGGACCCTCTAAACCTTAGTTACATTGGTGTTTACCATTTTAATTAATGTTTATTATACCCCTTGTATTTGCTAATAATTCACACGTAAATCACGGTTTGATTTCCTTATTACACAACAGTCATTTTAATTCTATTTTCGGTTTATTTACATGCGATACGGGTTTGGAAAATATCTAAACGTCCTCGAAAATTCTCCACAAACCCAACCATAGTTTTCGTATATGTTTTTATTCACACATCCAACTGTTACACTGATCATACGTAAGCGAACGTTCAGTGCAACTGTCAGTATACGTAAGAACGATGTTATTTAGACTTGACATTGTAACACATCTGAACTATTGTAGTTGTTCTACTTCGATGTCGTACTTCATTTTATGAAGTATTGTTTCCTCGTGGCTGTTGTTTAACAGATGATTCCGGTACATCAATCGGCTGTTCAACTACTCGACGATTTACAACCTGTCCAGTTCAATTGGTGGTCTGACGACAATATCATTCGCGCGAATCATCAGTTTATGCAGTCGAGCGAATCTCCTGCAAACTGAAAACGATATTGTCCCCTGTATCCCAACACTGACAGCGTTTTTCACGGGTATCATTGACATGAGTCCAGAGTGACACTCTTGGTTTCTTATGTTCTTTTCGATATTTTTCTGTTCACTAACCGAACAAACACGCAGCATTCACCGTTTATAATCTTTTAGAGACTTCATCGTGCCACCTTTTGCTGTCGATTTGTAGCCTTCAACCCTTACTGACTGTAACAGCAGTCATCGACTTTTGAAACTGTGACTACAAGTTGGTCAATAGCTTCGCACAACGAATTCACGACCACTCTTCACTGTTATACTTCTGTACTTACGGTTAGTCTGTTGGATATAGATATAACTAGAATTTGACACTAATTAATAGCTGTCAACGACACTGTCCGACTTACAACTTTAAACTAATAACAGTACAAATATGGATATCGATTGATAGTACACTTATCCTACTATCGCTATAGCATCATTACTCTTGCGGCAGATTTAACGTTTGTCATCGGAGGAACTGAACTACTTGTCAACGCTATATATTTCAGCGCGACTTGATAGAACAATAAAACGTTTTGTTCTTTTCATTATTTCTATGGTTAATCGCTTTACGTTTAACGAACGTCCTACTAACATATTATGATTCGCTGTTTCCCGACCAGTTTCTGCCGCCTCCTTTCCATTTCTTTTACAGATAAGCAATACCTGGAGGATTTATAATATTCGTTTGGCACTCTCTGGCGCGCGACTGTTCCCAACATGTTTGGTACCGATTCAAACGACCGTTGAATCTGGTGGGGGAGTATTGTAGGGTCAGTGAAATGTCACTGAGCCCTAGCCAAATCATACGGCAGTTGGATCACTGAATGTCGAACAGATCATCGCTCCCTGCCAAGGTCATGTAGAAGCAACGCGCATTAGTTAATCATACGCCATGGACTGCCCCATGCGGCAGTGGTCTTACTTTCGCCTGTATCTACCTTAACTAATATATTTCTGTAATAACGTCCTTTGTGTTGTACAGTCTTCAAAGCATCTATAGTACCTTGTTACGCCAATGGGGGTAGTCCACGTAAGGTGCTGACCACAAGGTGTGACTTCGACGTTAGTTGGTTCGTCACACTATTCACGTCTAACTCGAGTCGGCCTCCAATCATTTCGACATAGATCATCTACGTTGGTGATCTACAGTATCATTAGTCAATTCAAACACAGCATCCGCCACAGCTTAAATGGGTGTATAAGTGTCTGTAATGGTTGTATGTCTTCTTCTTGAGTTCATCCTGAGTCTGTCCGACATTGTATTGGATAAAAACTTTGTAGTATCTAGAATGTGCTCATTAGTATTGGAATTAACGAACGAAATCGGAACAGACTCACCTGGAATTGTATACAACCAGCATGTCGGTTTTGTAATGAAATCATTAATATCTAGAATTGGAGCCACAGATTTTTCAACACTATCCTCTCCCATGAAATAATGTTGGATTTTTATATCTCCAAGTTATGAATAATGTGGCTTCATTTAAAACATATTTCTCACATTGATTAGAGTATGCATTGGAAGTGGATTTGTGGTAAGGATGAACATCCGTTGATATTAAATCATCCGAATGGTAATCAAAATCGAGGTCACTTAGTACTCGTGTTTCGCATTGAACAGGTTTTTCACAAGGATCAAATGCATTATGAGGATAGATCATATATGATATGACATCAGGATTTGATTCCTCCGAAATATTCTCATGAAATTCATTAAGAACGTCATTGAAGAGTAATGGATCATTAGAAAAATTAGCGTCTATCAAAACTACATCAGGTTTTCGATCATAATTATGTTCACTCAACATATTTTC